TCAAGCCCCGCTTAGGGGCTTGTTACTCATCCCTTCCAGCTCAGAAAAGTTGGTCCACATTGGCATTTTTAACCATAAACATTAATGGAGCATCTATTATGTGCTGGGCCCTGGGAATGTAAATATGAGTGAGATTTGATCTAGTGGGAGTTTTTCAAACTGCAGCTGGTGGATCTCTGATGTTGTTGTTCAGCAGGTTTGGGCTGGGGCCAGGCTTCTGCCCTTTTCCACAACTACTGACGCAGTTCCAATGCCCAGTCTCGGTGAAGACCTCCTGGGCCATGAGCTTGTGTCGCCACTGTCTCTGTTCGCTGGCTCCCATTTCCCTCCGTTCTTTGTCCTCTCAGTTGGCTCTGCTCATAGCCAAGTGGTTTGGATGGGTTGGATGGTTGGGATGCAGATGACTCCTGTCCACTTTTGGGACAAAAGGTGAACAAATTGGCATATGTTACAGGAAGGTAGATTTTGCTTCAAAAGAAGGGCAGAACAAAACTCTATCATAATAAGAGCTGGCCAACAGTGGAAAGTCTGTCCCGTGGAGTAAGGAGTTTTCCCTCGCGCGGGGGGTTCAGTGGCAGCTCTGTGTTCTCGGGGATGCTGCAGGGAGAGCCCTTCCTGGGTGGGCTAGGACTGCCACTGCTCGGCTGTGGTTGTGGGAAGAGGAAGTTATTCCAGTCATCTTTTCAAATTTCCATATCATTTTTCTTCCCCTTTTTATCCCGTATCATCTTCTGGATTCTTAATAGCTCCTGCCGTGTCTCTCAGAAATGCTTGTAACGCTGTGTCTACCTGCTGAACTTGGACAATGCAGGTAGCAAGCAATTGGTCTGTAGTTTGCTGATCATACAGGCATCAGTTCTATCATGCCGAATTTTTTTTTATGGAACCAGTCCCTCAATTCCACCCCCATCCCTAGCAAGTGTGTGAGTACCTGTGTGGGAGAGATGCCTGTGCTTGCACACGAGTGTGTGTGTTGTAACTGGAGTCATACCTTAAAGTAACAGAAGCAGTTTTGCTTAGCTGGGGTAAGTGAATGGAGGGATAGCTGTGACCATGGTTCCCAGAGAGAACTGATCTGCCCTCTAGTCTCCCTCCTCCCTTTTCCCTCCTTCATATACCCCCAGCCCCAGGTTCATTCCTTCAGCTTAACTTCCCCCACTGCAGCTGTGACTTCTCCTTCCCTCATCTACCATACACATGGGCTTTAAGTTATGTGCCTCCTGTTCTACTGAGATAAACAACATAGTTCTCATGGGGCTCTGCTCATCCCTCTACAAGCGGAACTCCAGGGCTGAATGCATTGGCCCTATAAAGGCACCCTGGTGTCTGTCAGCTAGAGAGGAAGTCAAGGAAGGGGAACAGGAGCCCCCAGAGAGTTCTTGGGCCATTTTCTTGTTGAGATGAGGCGGAGTCAAAGGAGACCTCACAGCGAGGCTTATTTCCATTCTCGTGGCTAAAGAAGCAAAGAGCAGCAGGGAGATGCAGGTGGGGGCCTTGTCATGTCACGTGGTCACCAGGTCCGGACTCCTCTAAGTCAGCTGACCCGTAATAATTACCAGCTGACTTTTGTACAAGGCTTCATGATCATGAAGAGCTTCTAGAATGTAAGTGAATCCCCACGACAGTCCTTTATAAGGTAGGTGTTACTAACATCCTTATCTTACAGGTGAGGAGACAGTCTCAGGAAAGTGATGTTTCTCAAGGTGATAGGGGATGGTGGTATGAGGGAGGACTCATGTGCTCTTCCTCTGCACCATGGAGCTTCTGTAATCCATCTGGGGAAGTGAAAGAATGAAATGAAAACTGTCCCCTCTTTTCAGACTACTTACTGAAATGGACCTTCCCAGAAGGGTGGGCCTGTCGCTACAGGCGGAGTGGCCTGGGGCTGCCTTGCTGCTGCTGACTGAACAGTGCAGTGACCACACTCTCAAGGAGGGCATAGGACCTGAAAAACGTTGACAGATTTGACCTCATGTCGCTTAGACCTTCTGAGAGTACTGGTCTGGACCATTTCCGTGTCACTCACTTGTTTTTGGTCAGGCTGGAAATGCCATGAAGAAGCCCGTGGGGCAGGAAGGAGCCTAAACTAAAGCACAGAGAGTGCCCTGCTGGGGTGGGGCCTCTGTCCTCAGCCCACCTTCTGGGGTTTCTTTTGGGTGGGTGGGATGTGGGTAGATGATTCTCCTTGAGTCAGGAACAGTAGAGGGACAGCGGCCATTCACTTCCTACATTTTTGAGTTTGGTTCATTTCTGGTTGAATTTATTTGCTAAGTATTTCTTCAAGTAGCTGCCGGGCATTGTGCAAAGCATTGGGGATACTCAGAATGGACATGGTTCCTACCATCCTAGATCTTACAAAACCTAGTAGGGGAGACAGTCTAGTAAGTAGGCAATTAACGCCAATTAATGCCAACACCTGGGGGAAACACAGGGACTCTTGGGATTCTATAGGGAAGGCCATTAAGCCAGTTTTAATAAATACATCAGGAACACCCAGACAGTAACTAGATGATGCTGAGCCATCTAGAGGTTCTTGTTCAGGCATTGGAATGATCTATAACCTTTATATTTTTCCATTACCATTTAGTCCCATTATATCCCCTCCCCCCAGCTATTGGTGTTATTAACAAGTTCTTTTGGTGATTTTTGGTTTTGGCCTGGATATAATTCACTCATGTGTGGAATCTAATGAACAGACCAAAATAACAAGCAGAACAGAGACGGACTTGGAGATCAGGACGACAGGTACTGGGGGGCGTTGGTTAGATGGGGGAGGGATCCAGCAGAAAGGAAAAGGACTTGGGGGCAACAGTGCGGTGATTGCAGAGGGGAGGGGGCTATAAGGGGGTAAAATGGTAATGAAAAAATACACTAAAAAAAAAAAAAAGAACCTCTGACCCAAGATGAGTGGGGATTGATGGGACAAATTCTGGGATGTGGAGTAGCAGGTGAGGCCATGTACTTGGTCTTCAGTGGGATACACCAGCCCAAGAGGTGACCAAAATTTGTGGAAGGGACGCAGCATCAGTCCACCCATTTAGGAATTACAGGGTGAGAGATGGCACGGTCCTGGACCAAACCTACCAGAAGCATCAGAACTATTTCCCAGTGATGCCTTCCCCCGGGGAGGTCGAAACTGGGCCTCCACGGGAGGGGGAGCAGTCTTAGGCTATTTGATTAATTTGGTCTTCGAGAAATCAGCACTCGTCTGGTTCCCAGCCCTCAGGGAGCTCTGAGCTTCAGTATCCTCCTCCTGTGCAGAAGCCCGTGAAGTTATCAACAAAATCAAGTATTAAGTATTGGATGACTCTTGCACATGACACCAGAGATTTTCCTGGAGCCTCTAGGCTCCATCACCCTTAGTGGATGATGTTTTCTAAGAATCAGAAGGGGGAGAGTTAGGGACCTCCACCCTGTTCACAGCCTTACAACCTGTTGGAGCAGCTTTGTGACTAAATAGAAAAGTTTTAACTCATAAAGAAAATTGGAGAATTTTGTTGCTTTAGTGTTTGGAATAGATGCCTCCGATTTGGACCCAAACCAATAAATGGATAGCAGTGAAAATGAAAAATAAATGAGTGGGTAAATAGCAACGAAACTTTTGTCGATGATAATGATTATTTTTTTTTTGTTTTGCAAAAAGCAAAAAATGAAGGCAATGTCTCGTCTCTTTAAAGGCTCCCACATGGTAGACACGTGGAATACAGTCCTGATGTCTTTTGAACCCCACAGTTCTAGAGTGAGGCAGTGACCCTCTCTCGTGTGGCTGTCTGCATCTCACAGTTGTCACTTGTGCTTACCTACAGAAGACCGAATCGTGACCCCGGTCAGAGTAAAACTGGAACATACTTTTTCATTTAATTCATTCAGCAAAGGTTTACTTTGATTGTTTTGTGTGTCAGGCACAGTTCTGGTTCTGGGGATTCAGGAACAGGACAAAATCCCTTTCCTCACCGGTCCCTTCACTCCAGCAGGGGGTGGATTAGTTGGCTTGCTGGCACATTCTGAGGTGCATAAGGTGCACCTTCTTAGTCCGGAAATCATCGCACCAGTCTTAAGCCCCTTCTTCCTCTCCCCTGAGCCTGTACCCTCTGCCCTTTTCCCTGGGAATAGACCGTAGTCAGCGTGGGGAGTCCATGTTCCTCCAGGGCCTCTGGCTGCCACACTGTGTGTCACAGGAGCCATTGAAGTGTTGCAGGAAGGCTCCTGGTGGGTTATTTGGCATGACAGAAAATACTGGTGTGGGACTTGGTGCTAAAGGCCAAATCTAGAAGGAGCCTGTTGTTGGGAGACAGTGTGGCGCAGAAGCCCAGCCACAGGACTCCTTCCAGTTTCTCTGTATGAGCCCCAGACAGGTGGGCAGGGAAACACAGGTGTGCTGGCTCTGCAGACATGGAGCCTGGTCCTCGGAGCGGTCTTATAGTCTGTCTAATGGAGGTTGCACGGGGCTCCCTTGGGCTTCAGCGAGCTGTCAGTAACTAACTGGATAGGTAGGAGGTCTGGCTCCTTGGTTTTGTTTCCTTGTAATGTTTTCTAATGTAGGCTGCCCATACCTGGGCATGCTGACTTCTGCTGCTCCACCTTGAAGGGAACCTGCGTGACCTGACAGGGCTAGTTGATGGGCAGTAGCTGCAGATCCACTGCTTTGGAAACACTGTGGTGAGGTTGAGTCTGGAAAAATCCTGCTTGTGGTCCACAGGCCCCTCTGATCATCTCTCCAGACCAGGAAAATAGAACTGGTTTTGGTAACAGCGATGGCTCTTTTTGTCACAGGCTTAATGAGATGGTGTGATGGAGAAGATGGAGCGCGGGTCTTGGGGTCAGATGACCTAGATTCTGCCTGAGCTCTACCATACCAGCTGTGACCTTGACAAGTCATTTCACCTCTCTGGGCCTCAGTTTCCTTGCCCTGTGAATGAGGTCATTATAGACAAGGTGGTTTCTGAGGCCCCTTCCAGCCTGGAGCCTTTAACCTTTACACACACTGTCTCTGTCCACAGGCCTTGCTCCAGGCCAGCTGTACACATACCCTGCCCGCTGCTGGCGTAAGAAGAGACGATTGCACCCACCTGAGGATCCAAAGATGCGGCTGCTGGAAATAAAGCCTGGTCAGTACCGTCGGAGCTTGGCTCGCCCCGTTGTGGGAGAGGTGGAGAGCGCTGGGCTGGCCCAGGACAAGTGGCTTTGCTCTTTTGTCTGTAGCCTGGAGTTTCCCAGGAGAGTAATGATGCCCACATATGGTGTTCAGAGGTGTGCCATCTCTCATGTATAAACATGTACATGTGTCCGTGGGAGCTTCTCTGCCCTCTGGGTGTCTTCCACCTTCCCCTTCCTTTTGTCTCCCTCTTGCCACTGCGGGGAAGTAGAGTGAGCAGGCACAGAGTGGGCACAGGCCCAGGATGAATTACTTTCCCAACAGATCAGAAGGAGCTGTAGCTATTTGGGTCGAGTAATACTTCCTGTGGCTCCAAATAAAGAAACCTTGTCCCAGGTCGTGTGTTTGTTAGGAGAGTGTGTTGTGTACTTTCTCCTACCCTCACTGGGAATGACCTTTTGGAGCATGTTACATGAAAGGGCCATTCACTAAAAGTAGAACCATCTTGGGCATGGCAATGGAAGTTGGAGTTAAAACTTTGCCTGTAGGTCATGCCGATTGCTCTGTGGCCATGCAGAAGGACTTGGTTGGTTTTCTTGACTACTGATCTTTTGTTACACTTCTGACTAGATGGCGGTCTTCAGACCAGTGTCTGAGTTACAGCAAGGCCATGTGATTGCCCTGGGTCTTCAGCTTTAAAGGAACCTCTGGTTTGGGGGTGCTGGGGCTGGAATCTGACTCAGGGTGGTGAGAATGTGCTGGCAAGTAGAGCAAATGCAGAGCTGACATGTTCCCTCCCAAAGCTGACACGTTCCCTTGGCTGACATGGTCCCTCAGCAAAGCAGTGTGGACCCAGTCTCACCCCTGCCTTTTCATGGTGACCATTTGGGCTGTGTTTTGTCTGCAGAATTTCTACTTACAGTTGTTGAGAATGTTTTTACTCACAGTTCCATGGGTAAGCCTGCTTTGACTGTGTGCTTCAGCCTAGGTATCACTTGTGTACAAGTTTCATTTGTTAGGAGTGGGAGGGTGCCATATTCTTCAGGGTACTTCATCCAAGCTCTCAAGTGGCCTTGCACAACTTACAGACCCTTGCAGACACTCAAGGGTAATGACTGAGGTGGTTCTAACTCTCCCCTCCCCCCGGCCCCACACGGCAGGTTGTAGGTGGGGGAGCCCAGTGCCCTGGAGTGGCACAGTCCAGTGGAAATCTAATGCAAGCCACCTGTGTCATTTTACATTTTCTAGTAGCCACATTAAGAAAAAGGAAAAATAAAAAGCAAACAGTTCCAGTCAATTTTAATAATGGATTCTGTTTAACCCAAAATATCAAAACTATAATTCAGCATGTAATCAATATAGAAATTATAAATGAAATACTTTCCTTTTTTTGTATTCTTTTTATATTCCTGTTTGTATTTTATACTATTGTAACTTTTACTGTGGGACCAGCCACAGATCAAGTGCTCAGTTGCCACAAGGAGATAGCGGTGCCCATTTTGGTGAGTGTGGCTCTAGAACTACACTCAAAATACAGTTATGACCAGTGCAGGCATTGCTGTGGTAGAGGTGTAGAGTCTTGGGCCTCACTCTGGACCTTCGGAGTCAGAACCTGCATTTTATCAAACCCCCAAGACTGTGTCCCCAGAATGCTTGTTGAGTTTGAGAACACTGGTTTGGAAGACTTACATGGCCAGCCACAAGTCAGCATGGCATGACTCCATATCATCTATGTTTCTTTTTCTTTTTGAAGATTTTATTTACTTATTTTTAGATAGGGGGCGGGGAGAGAGAGGGAGGGAGGGAGGGAGGGAGGGAGGGAGGGGGAGAGAGAGAGAGAGAGAAATCAGTGTGTGAGAGATATATCTGTTGGTTGCCTCTCACAGGCCCCCCAGCTGGGGGACCTGACCCGAAACCCAGGCATGTGCCCTGACTGGGAATCAAACTGGCAATCTTTCAGTTCACAGGCTGGTGCTCCATCCACTGAGCCACACCAGCCAGGACATCATTTACGTTTCTTAAGCATAAACAACTGGTGATATGAACAATTTTATTTTGGAGGTGGAACCTCTTTCCTTCCTTGTTCCAGATCAGTCGGTCCTGGTGTCTTGAAAGTGGCATGGAGGACCGATGAAGTAATCCCTGGTGTTACTCTTACCCGGACCAGTTGAATTCCGCCCCTCCAGTCCCTCCAGAGCTTTGCAGTAGGTGCTGTAGTGAGAAAGTGAGCAGTGTGCCAGGGTGGCTGTGTCAGCTCTGAAGGGAGGGTATTATTCAGGTGTCTGTTAGTAGTTGGCTGTGTCTACATGTTGTAGTATGTGGGCCTTCTGGGTATATTTCCCCATCTGTCAGTAGACACAGTGGTACTTGGGATTCCTAGCTGGCCTTGCAGGTGTATCATGTGGATTAAATGAGCCATATGTAATAGTATTTGCCCTTTCAAACCTTTTTAATTAAAAAATTTAAAAAATTTGACTTGGTAATATAGTCACATTTTGACATTCCAGAATATCGTATAGTAGAAAGTAAGACCCACTCTCCAAAGAGGCAGTCAGCGATACCGGCTTTTGGAGGTTTTTCCCAGAGGATCTATATACCCTTCCCTTCCTTTTTCTTCGTGCATGGCCACCATGCATTTTGCCCCTTCCATTTAAAAACGGGCCTCAGGCATTGGCCTTGTCAGTATATAGAGAGCTTCCTCATCCCTTTTTTTCCCCCAGTTACACAGTATTTCATTACATTGAATGTGTACCACACCTTATTTAACCATGCTGTTCCCAATTTTTCCGGTTTAACCAGTGATGCAGTGAGTATTTTCCATGTGTAGGAGGATATCTCACATGTAATTTGTTAAAGGCATTTTTTATAAATACTTACCACTAATTTTAAATTATTAGTCCTTATTTTTTGTCTTTGTTCTTAACATTTATATGAAAAGTATTTGTGAAGAACATTATATCTGACTAATTGGATCTGATGTATACATACTGGATAAATGTCTTTTATAGAATCAGTGACATTGAGTGCTGTAAAATGCCTCAAACATCATGAACTCCAATTCCTTATTTTACTGGGGTCCAGAGAGGTTAGGCTCAAAGTCACACAGCAGTTCTCTGGAAACAGCAGAGAATCCAGGTTGCTTGATTTCTCAATGTAGTGCTTTTTCTGTTTTCTCAAGCTGCTTTGTAGGTATACTAAAAGAAACTTTAACAAGGCTTTCCCCCCTGAAAACTTTGTTTATAAAACAAATGTATCAATTATGAAAATGCACCCAAGAGATGGTTGGAGTTTCTTCTGCCGTGTCAGACATTCTAATCAAACCAATCAAACTAGCCTACCAAAAAAAGGGAGGTTGGTTCATGTAACAGTAAATCCCAGAGTAGACTAGTTTCAGGCACAGCTGAATCCAGGGCCTCAAGCATTGTAATGAGGGCTCTGTGTCTCTCTCTCTTCATCTTTAACACTCTTCTTTTCATGGGGCAGGCAAGTAGCCACCAGCAGCCCCAGTCTCACCACTCGCCACCCCCAGCAGAAAGGTAAGGCCCCTTTGATGGCTGTGCTGGAGAGGTCCCTGGAAGGACTGATTACCTGGCTGGGTTTATGTTCATTCCACCAATCACTGCCACCCAGGGGTTGGGGTAATCTGATTGGATCATCATCATCATCACCAGTATCTGAACTACACACTAATTTACAAAGCCCTTCACAAAGCATTTTCGTTTATATCACCAATGGGTCCTTACCACCAGGGAGGCAGAGAGAAGGAAGTGGTAAAAGTGGTATACAAGCCCATTTTATAGGCCAGGGAAATCGGGCTGCGGACAAAGCCAAGGAGAGTGTACTACGCTGCTCACTTATCTGAGAACTGGCAGTCTCACCGCTAGTGGGACTGAGGCAAGAAGCTACTTAGTGCAGTGTCTTGTCCTTCCATCTCTAGACATTTCATTGGACACACTGGACTCCCAGCTGGCTTTGGACCTCCCCCACCCTGGGGCCTACTGTGACATGATCCGGGAGGGAAAAGCAAGAACCCTAGGGCTGGTGGTTTGCTAGCCAAGTGCCCACCAGCCCATTGTGTTCCTTTGAAAGTTTTCCTTGGCTTCTGTCCTCATGCTGGGGCAGAGGGCAGGGTGGCTGTTCCAGACCTCAGGTGGTCAAGGCCCAGCCCCTGAGATGGCCAGAGTCCTGTGGGAGGACCCTCTCTGGAAAGATAAGTGCCAGCCTTGATGTGGATAGGCCCTCAGAAGTGCAGCCATATTCGAAGGTGGAAAAACACCCCAACTCAGTTGGACTCACCTGTGGCAGGCTTGTCCTAGAGGCCAGTGTGCGAGCTCTGAGAAACAAAACAAACCCAGGGCTGGTAGATACTTATCAAACACCAGAGCTGCTTCTCAGATGAACTCCTTTTCCCCTCTTTGGGCAAGCCAACCTACTGCTAAAAGCGAAACCCCCCAAAGCTTGGGCCCAGTGTTTGTCATTTCTGTGTCCTGTGCTGAGTCTGTACTACCAGTGCAGGCCTGGCCCTCAGGATGTACCAGCATGCCAGTCTGCTAGTGCAAGTCGTGAACCAAGATGCCAGGAGGGTGTCAGGGAGTCGGTGACAGGGAGCCTGAGCCTCGGGCCTCAAAGCAGCAGGGCCCACCCACAGAACAGGAAGTAGAAAGCACAGAGACGTGCACCACCCTCTTAATAGAGGCAACACATGCCTGCATTTGAATTTTTCACAAGCCAGCATTTCAGAGAAGGACCTTCATCCAGCGCCTCCACTGGCCCATGTGGTGCCTTGGAAGAAGGTGCCCCCTCTGGGTGGACAGTTACAGAACGATGCCCCTTGTGGTCGGTTAGCACAGCAGGAGTGGGATCTGAGCCCCGTCCCTGTGTCTGACCTCATCATTTGTCAGATGCCGTTTCCCGCTGAGAGGATCTTTCCTTTTTTGCAGTATGTCCTTCTCAGTCACAGGGTCGACTTGGGCAGCCTTTTTAAATGACTCTTATTTTTATTTCATTTGATTT